TTTAATCTTCGTAGCTATGTAAGATATATATTTGCAAATTAAATGACTGAAGTTATATAAGAGAGTGTTAATAAAATATTAATTAAATATTAATAAAATATTAATTAAATATTAATAAAAATATTAATTAAATATTAATAAAATATTAATTAAATAATATTATAAATCTCGATTTATTTTCACAATTAGCTGCAAGAAATATTTCAAAATATTATATTTAGAAATTTTATTTAGTTCTACTTAAAATTTTATGGTTTATTTAAAGTGCTATAAAATATTTAAATCGCATGACGTCTAATAGTTTTAAATGATATTTAAAATTTTAATTAGCTTTGCATTGAATTCTGCTCATATATATGTTACATAAACTTAAATTATCAAATGAAATTAATGCTAATATCTTTTCATTTTTCTGTTTCATAATTCGCTTCTCTCGTTTTACACATTACAATACTGTGATTAGAAGAAATTCTATTACACCATATTCCATCTTTTTCCATTTTATTCCAATTTTATCTTCTCCTCCTTATCAAACTTTTTTCTTATCTTTTCCGCTATTTGTACACTGTTAACAAAATAATTAAAAAAAGATACCATATAAAAATCTATGACGGGATGATCTTTCAATCTTTCGTTCGTCCCTTTGTGCTTTTTAAAGAATATCTAAATATTAATTATAAATATCTAAATATTATTAATTATATCAATATAGTCTATTAAAACTGAATTTATAAACACTTCTTCTTTCCTAAACGTGCTTGTAAATTTACTTTAGAATTATTCTCATCGATCGTGTATACAATGTACTTATAATATTTTCAAAAATTATAAAATATAAAAATTTTTGCAACATTTGTACGATATTATAAAATATTATAAAATCGTACATCGTAAAATAGTAATGCATATAAATTTGCATGTGTTTTTTTACATGAGCATATGTAAAAAACACATGGAAAATATATATAAAATATATGTTTGAAGAATATTTTAAAATATTATACGAATATACAAGACAACTTTTTTTTTGGCCTCTAATGATAATCGAGAGCTAATGTCAAGGTTCCGGAATTTCTTAGACCGACGAATGATTCGTATTATCATACGTTGAGTACGCGATCGCGTGAGGAAGGAGAAACGAATGAAAACTCGCAGCCAGAACGATGTACGGTCTCAGTGAATGATATCGATAGATGCGTATAACTGTTCAAGAAAGACAATTGATCGTTGTCTCTAAAATTTCAAATTACCAACAAAAGTCGAACATTTGATCGTTTCAGAATGACGTTGACGTGTTTGGAGAAAACATTATTGATTATATTGGGAGTGATTGGTCTACGAATTTTATTTCAACTAAGTGCTCTCGTGTGGAGGAAGTTAATAGCACCCAATCTTGGCTTGGCTATCGATCTGACAAAGCAGGGTAAATGGGCAGTGATCACTGGTGCTAGCAGTGGCATTGGAAAAGAATTCGCGAAACAGTTGGCGAAACAGGGTTTGAATATTGTACTGGTTTCACAATCTGAAACGAAGCTCGAGGAGGCGGCAGATGAGATCAAACAGAAATATAATGTCGAAGTTCGAATTGTGCAGGCAAACTTGACCGAAGGACAAGTAGTTTATTCGAGAATTGCCAAAGCCACCGAAGAACTTGAGGTATCGTTCTTTTTTCCCATCTCATTTTCATTGTGTCATCCGTCTATTTATTTATTCCTCTATTCATTTATGTATTCGTTTTGAGTGATAGTTTATGCAAAACGTTTTCCATAAAGCGTTATAAACCATCGCAGAATATCAAACTTGAAATTGTCACATATTATAAAGCGAGTAACATCTTAAGAGTACAAATAAAATTTTATAGAGGCGAAAGGATCACTTCGTACTTTTTTTTTTAAATTATCAAAAATAAGAATAAATTCATATCAGCGAAATATAGACTTGAAAGACCAAAACTAGAAAGCTAGTAAAAGATAATTTAAGGTACACTTATTTAATAAAGATACCAACGTAATATGTGTAATATTACAAAAATGCAATGCCGGTTATTTTTGTTATCAAAGCTAACACTTCTCATTTGAAATATTCTTTTCATACTCTACATAGTTAAAAATTTTTATCAGCGATGAATATTCTTCTCAAGAGTGCAGAAGAACATTTCCCATTCGTTTCCAAGTGTTTATTATTTACTTTTCTCTTATCACTATATATTTCTGTACTTCTAATTACATTCTTAAACTTACTAACGTACAAACGTTTCTTTCTTTTCCGTCGTATTTTCTTATTTAACAATGTGCAATGTACGTGTATATCAACAGATATAAATAAAACAAAAGCTACCTAATTAAAAAAAAACTCTAATATATTCTATTATATTAATATATTATTTTAAAAAAGTTCGGAGTGATACTCATCCTCGTAATTACTTTTGTGCTCTTAAATGATAGCTTTCCTTTGAGACAGCTTGTGTATATATGTATCAAAATATCACATGTTCAATGGTATAATATCGCGTAGTTGATGTACAAAGAAGAACATTATTCCCTAAATTATTATCTTCTCAATTATGGAATCCGGTCGCAACAATTGTTGATCAATCTTTTAACTGTAATCCATTTTTCCAGATCGCTGTGGTGGTAAACAATGCCGGAGCCAGTTACGAACATCCAGATTTATTTAACAACATCCCGGAGGAAAGTTTGACGAAGATTCTGCAGCTAAATGTTATGGCGGTGACGGGGGTTGCAAGAGCTCTTCTTCCACAAATGTTCCAACGTAGGAAAGGTGTTCTGATAAACATCAGTTCGATATTAGGAATCATACCAGCTCCTTATTTAACTGGATATGCCGCCAGCAAAGCGTATGTGGCCAAACTTAGCCAAGACTTGGCCGTAGAAGCAGAACCACACGGTGTTACCGTCCAATGCATTATTCCTGGCTTAGTGGCGACAAAGATGTCAAAGATCAAGTGAGTTATATAGATCTCGCTTAGCACGTGCACGCTTCATTTACATTACATACATATTTATAATTGCAAGAAATGCTTATCATCGTCGAACAATTATATGCAATTATATGCGTAATTATTTCACAAGTAGTTTTTCAGTTCGTAGCATGGCAAAGAGTATCACTGAAACGATAACGAAAACTTGTCAATAATTTAAAATTATTACAGCTTGATAAAAAAAAACAAAAAAATCATACAACAATTCATCTGACCTCATTTTAAAGTGTAAAGCTCGATAAGTTCAATGAAATATCAACACAGCAAGAAGCCCGTGTAAAAAGATATTCGAATTTTTACAATTTTCCAGAAAAGAGTATCCTTACTTGTAAAATAATGTTATACGATGTAACATTTTATTTTTGAAGAAAAGAACAAACTATTATCAAAATAGAGAATTTGCTGTGAAACAATGGTTGTTATGTAGTTTTTTTTCTTACGTTTTAAAACCTATGATTTTATGAGTATTTTTAAACTATGAGTTACACCTATGATTTTTTTTTTTTTCAAATTGATTCAATTATGTTTTTCGCTGTAATATACATGTATATATTACACATATACATATTATACTATATTATACTCTATATAGTATACTATATATACAATATGCTATATAGTATATACTGTACTATATATATATTTTTATTACACTATATTATACTATATATATATTTTTAGGAAACCAACTTGGATGGCACCATCGGCAGAAAAATTTGTAAAATCTTCGTTGAAAACGATCGGTCTTGAATTATGTACAACTGGCTATCAGCCTCATTTCTTATTAATTGCCTTTGTACATAGTTTACAGTACATCTGTGAAAGAGGTGCGCTCTGGTTAATTTCAAAAACCCTGTGTAATATAAGAAATCGTGCTCTGAAAAAAGCCAGAAAAGAAGGAAATGGTATGTTAAAATAAGCGGTTATTAATTCAATTTTTTTCTTTCTTTCTCTCACTTTCCACTCCTCTTCTTTTTCCTTTTTTTTTCTAATTTTTGCCTCTCTTTTAGTCGCAACGTAAGAAACACTAGCTGATTAATCGTGTGTTTTCTCATTTAATGGCAAGGGACACAACTAATAAAAAGATATGCACAATAATGAAAATATCTCTCATAATGGGTATTTATTCTTGAATTTTTATATACGAAATTAAACATTATAAAATTCAGTTATTTGTAAATTATTTGTAAATTAATTTCTAATTCTCTCCGATTGTTTTTGTTTTTTGTTTTTTTGTTTTCTTTTGCTTGTTAATATCTTTGTACATATAGTTATTTATAACTTGTTATGTAAGTGAATAAAGTGTGCGATTGTTTCCCTTTTCTTTTCTATTTTCTTTTTTTTTTGTTGTTGTTGAACTATATTGTTCAACTATATTGTTCTTTTATATATATGTATATTTAATGTATATGTCTTAACAATATCTATTTTTCTTATAATTATGAAAGAGAAAACATTTTTCCTTTCAATCATAAGAGATCTCTTTCAAAGTTGAGTGCCTATTTGATGTAATAATTTTTTAATCCATAATAATTTATTATGATTACAATTGTCATTAGAAGAAATTTATTATAATAAATTGATAATTTAATTCGATATTGAACTGATTTAAAATAGTAAAAATAGACTGTGATTTGTACTTGTAAATATATATAGTATATAAGCAACAATATATATAGTACCTTAAGCAACGTTCTAATATATTATATTATAATTATATAAATTCAAAATTCTCGATTTATTCCTTGGAAAACTCAGAATTAGTGGTTTATCTATTAAATTATTCTAACATTTTATATATTTCTTATGTCATTTCTTATGTCATTGAAAATAAAAGACAAAAGAAAAATTTTTTTGAAATCATTACACTGAGTCGGTAACGTCGCATATGGCACAGAAATAACAAATGACTTTTTATCTTTGTACCGGTCGAAATTAATCTAATTTCTCGGTCAATGATATGTAAGTTAATTCTTGGAAATTTTTAATACTTCGAAATACGGCTTTCCTATTACAATAATTAATAATTTGATCATTTTTAGATTTTTGTTGTTTTAATTCTTGAAAACCTTTAGTTTGAAATATGGCTTTCCTATTACAGTAATTAATAATTTGATCATTTTTAGATTTTTGTTGTTTTATAGTCCTCATTAAATTAAGTCAAGCTTGTTAAATTAAGTCTGCTAAGTTAATAATTGTAATTATTTATTTACAATTGAATAATTTAATTATTTTATATTTTCAAACATTGTTTCGTAATTTCAATAATTCATTTATGATAATTAAATTATTTTCTATATTTCTAAAGATTATTCGATAATTATTTAGCCTGTTTGTAGCAATTAAACAAGTTTAATTTCTTCTACACTTCTCGTCTGGCTTGTATCATTTTATTTGGTATAGTTCTCCAATTCACCGTTCTTTAAGCATAGAGTGCGCTAAAAAATCAGTGATTCTATTCCTAGTCGATATTTCAGATTCTGATACACGAAGTCCCATTTCATGTCCAGTCTATTCTACCTTTAGTCGATGCTATAACCGAGAAGAACAGAAAAAAAAGAGAAAGTGAACCGTGCTGGTGGAGATTTGAAAAGAGTCTAAAATTACGATCTTCTAACTTCTCTTTGGACTTCCTAGTTCTGCAAAACTTCTATAAGAAAAAAATAATATTACATGTCACAGCAATTTATGTTGTTATTATTTGTATAATTATCATTGTTGAATGTTAGATAATACTAAAAACATTGGTGAAACTAAAATATTTCGAAAACTTTCGTTGAAGACACATACTTTACGATTTTTGAGAATTATGGAAACTGAACATTAACAAATCGATTCACGTAGACTTCAATCGATAATTTGTGGGTTTGAAAATTCAAAATTTCAAAAGTTCGAATACTTGAAAGAGGCTTAAAAATTAAAAATCTCGAAAATTTTGGAATTAAAAATTAAAAAGAGAAATGAAAAATTCAGATAATCAAAGGAGAGTCCGGGATTCCGATGTTACTGCTTCATCGTGGAATTTTCCCTTCTCCTGACACTTATGAGAAGACAACGGTACCAGCATCCACATGCATCACGATTAGGCAGTGGTCTAAAACTTGACCTCAATCGACGACCTCAATGAGTGTTCCTCTCGTCGTCCATTTTTCCTTAGTTTCTGGATGTATATAATCTAAGCAATTTATCGCAAGTGAATCAATTATACACCTGCAATTATAATTAATGTCAATAGACTTGTAGAACCAAGATCGTGGTGGTAATAATTATAAACATAAATAAATAATATTAATATTAATATATTTTAATTAATAATATTACAGATATAATTTAAGAATTATATAAGTCAAGTATTTCGATAATCAAGTCATCTATATTAAATTTCATATTAAGAATATATGAATTTCATATTATTATCATATTAAAATACATAAATTTAGAACAGAAAATAATTATTCCAAAATTTTCAACAAAGAATTTCAAGAACTTACGATCATGAAAAATCAGAGAGTAAAAAGTATCACCTGTAAAAGTAGAAAATAACACATAAAAGCGAAGGAATCAATAGGCTACATAAAACAAATACAATTTTCTAGAAACTATTTGAAAGTCCTGGTTACGAACGTTGATAAACAAAAATCATCATTCTTTTATATCTAAGGAACATTATCACATTGATTGATGATAATAGCTTTCTTTCTGCAGAACCTTCATAGGTAACACAACATTAAGTCATTTGTCCCACAATTATAATCCTTCTCACTAATCCGACTCTAATTAGTTAAGAGATTATTATTTTTCAATTTCATAATTTTTTCATTCAATTCGTTACTTCGTTTTATTAATTCTTTGGTATTTTACACATAAAGAGAATGATTCGTACCAATTTCTTTTTTTCTTTATTGATTGCTACTAACTATTGATTTCTTATTAACAATAAGATGGTATTAATTCAAATTGAAGTCATGAGAATGCAGTCAATGTATTAAAGTAGTTACGTATTGTACATGCATGCCATTGTCACATAATTACGTTGTCAAACTGTTAAAAATAATATTAACTGCATTGAGAATAAATTTAAATGAATGAATTTGCAGTTGAAATTTAGTAAAAAAAGAAAGACTTTTTTAGTTACTAACATTATGTACAAAATTTATCCATCCAAAATCATCCATCAGAACTGCTTTCTTATATTTATCACATAGAAATATGTGTGCAAGTACATAAATACGTACGAAAGTTTATTACCCTTAAGTGACATCAATTGAGAAAATCGAATGAAATTGACTGCGAGTTTGTAGAACGAAATAATCATAACGTTAATCGTCTTCAAGCAATTTAGAAATTTAGAAATTTGAATATTTATACGTTGATTGAAAGAATAACATCATTTTCAGATTTTTTAAATTTAGAAATTTTTTAAATTTACCGCTAGCATTTTTGCATAAATTTGCAGAATTTAAAATATCTTTAAATTCAATTTAGAACATGTATGTATTCATATATCTAAAATTTAATAAATTGTGTGAATTCAAAAGATCCATATAAATCTGTAGGTATCGATATTTATCAATCTCCTCCAAAAAATACAAAAACTTTAAAAATATCACTTTATACTCAAATAAATGACATTTGTTAAATAGCAGTTATTCCAAAATCATACAAACCTCTTCGAACATCTTACTTGATCTAAATCAAATCCATACTAGACAATAAATTTACTCAATTTCCACGTAAAAATATATTTTAAGCAACAGCGTAGGCGGAAGAACAGCGACTAACATAAGTTGCCCGACAAAAAGGCTCAACGATGGCTAGAAAGTTGTGGTCCATGATTGTGTGGCCGTTAAGCTTGTCCCATTTATGCTTCTCGCCTGTGTATACGCCACACGTTTAAACATCTTCGTGGAAGTATCAACGCCGTCAGCTGGCGTTAATATTTTTATACATACCTAGTATTCGCACAAACCGGAAACCCATTAGTCTATCGGTAAAACACGACCGTGGTGAAATCTCGTTGACTCGCAAAAAGATAGCTACTATAGTTTCTTCTGTTTCAGAGATAATTTGAGAATGTTTTTGCGTAATCTGCTGTCACCTATTAATTACAGGGAGCACTTCATTTCTTTTGAACGCTTCAGTGTTTTATAATATTTTGTAAGACGTCGATGTAATAGGATGTATTGTTTTATTCAAGGAAAACCGTTTGTTGTTTGGACATGTACGATTTACGCGATTATCTCTATTGTATTGAAGAAACTTTTGTTAAGCAGGTGTATTTTCTTTCCACAGTATCTGAAAGTACAGAGTTAAAAAATTTGAAAATTTGGATAATGACACATAATTGACTGTAAATTGTAATGATGAAAAGAATGTTCAATACTGCCATAGTGATATTATGTAGTGTGAAATATCTTTCAACGTTGTCACTGCTGTATAATTTTCCTGACACATGCACAGATCAATCGAAACAGCACAGCGCTGTAGATTCGCATCTACTTTCTCTATCAGAGATGCAGCATTGAACTATTTAATAATTTATATTCTCTCTCAATTAAATATGAATTACAATATCTCCTCCCCTATAAATTTTTTACATTTTCAATTTCAATCATAGTACATGTATACCTTATTTTAGTGACAGATCAATTTTCAAGACAACAATTTGAGGTTACTCTTTTTTTATACCAGTATATCGTTCATTACAAATTGTAAAAAATGGTGAATTATGATTTTTCCTCGGTTTGTGATCAAGAAAAAATGCAATTGAAAAGAATCGAATTCTTCTTCATGTAATACGTAATTTTTACTGAAATCGGTAATATCATTTACCTGTGCATGTGTTGCTATTGAATTTTGCACTTTTCATTTTCGTGCTCAATTATAAATCATTCAATATACAGGGTACATTTGAAGCAGTTGGCTAAAATAATTCAATTATTCTTGAATTAGCAAATTTGCAAATTTTCGACTACTTTCCCTTTGTTAGGAAACTGAAACAAAGCGGAATACAATTCAATCGAAGAAGAATAAAATCTTATTAGGGACATCTAACGCAACTGCATACAATAGTTATCCATATACAACAAGCTTTTACCTACGTACAGTTCAAGAAAGCGTAACGTAATCTTTAATTTTTCTTTGTACATGTACAAGGCATTGGCTTCTCCTATTACATATAAATCCGTGCTCGAATCAATGATTTTTATCAATCATTTTTCAACGTTCTAACCTCACAATATTCGAATTGTTTCATTTTGTGAAAATGTGAATATGTTTTACATTAATATTTCTTTTCCCATTGAAATGTACCATTTTATCATCTTTGGAGAAATTTAAGTTTCCTTTTTTAATAATGAGAATTTTGTTTGATTCGTACAGTGAGCTTCTTTAAAATATAAACATTTTAATTTTTTGTATTTCAAGAATAAATTATATTTTTGAATAATGTTGGATTTTCCTGATCACTTCCTGGTTTCATTATTTTTATTGCCATTGTGTTTTCTGTCATTTCTTGCCATTCACAAGTTTTCCACAGGGCGAATATGGCATTTTTTTCAATGAACTACGTAATTATTATATATTCGAACTCAAATAACCAATCAGAACTGAAATAGAAAAAAAGGTCTAAAGGATGATGAATCAGGAAACGATATGTATAATTTTCACGAGCGAATATTTACGAACAATTATTTGTCGAGCATAATCTTACTTTCGCTTTTAAACCTCTCATATCTATTAAACTTACATGGATACTCTTCACAGAAAGTGGATCTCCTTACATTTTTATGTGAACTTAGTAAGAAACGTAAAGTAAATATGTAACTGATTATTTAAACTTTTTTATTTGAGCGAAATTGTTATAAAAAATGATATTAATATTTTATCATTAAATCATTCGTATCACTGCGTTTATACTAAACAAACAAATGTTTTATTCACTCTCCTACTTCAACGCTTATTTACACCAACATTATTATAATGAACACAACGATATGAATACAAGCACGAAATCGGTAAACGAGCATTCGTGCGTTTGGTGTAAACCATTAAATTAGTTAGTCTACCGTAATAACTACTTATTGTAAGAACAGATTCAGAAGCAATCGCTACTATATAATTTTTTACAATTCAAATAATTTAAAAACAATTACGAACACGTTCTCTATTATACCACTTTCACGCAAATTTCTACTCGAGCAACATGTACTTATTGCTAATTGCTATTATGATAATATTACATAACTCAAAACAAAAATACCATCGGTATCTATAGATGGCACGAAAATGTATTAAATTATTGATTCAAAAAATTTATAAAGCTAATTATATACCAAATAAATAAAGTACCTTAAAAAGTATTAAGATATAATATAAATATAATTAAATCCAAGATAATCACAATTAGAATAAAGTATTAATAAGTCCAGAATTCAATTTAGAGTTCAAAATATATACAAAAAAACGATTGGGAACTTTGTAAATCCATTCAAGAATCTATTCCAAACTATTATATTTTAATCTTAATAAGGTTCTATGGATATGAAGATAGAACTTCATAATATATTGTACATTTCATTGAATGTTTTGTGTAACTATATGCATACTAGCAATAAATAAAATAGCTATATATATGTGTGTATGTGTATATTGTACTATATATGTAAATATCAAATTTTATTTTTTTTTGAAATGCTCAAGAAAAAAGAATAAAACTCTTTGAATTTTTCCAAGAGAAAGTAATGGAAAAATTGACAGAACATCTGCAACTCTCCAATGAATTGATAATACGAAAATTGTTAATTTTCTGTTTGCGCATATATTATTATAAAACACACATTCGTTAGTTATTATTGTGATCAACTGTTGTTTTAATGAATAAAAAGCACACTGTAAGAAATAAAAAATAAAAAGCATACGACAGACCATCTGATTGGTCACGTCGTTTACTGTACAAATTTCTATACTTACATGGATTTTTAATCTCATTTCATGCGTTCTACTTTATACATTTGATTGTTTCGATATACTTATCAGAACGTGATTTTAATAGAAGACATATCCATTGTAACCATAGGCTAACCTACATTCACCCTAAATTCCCATACGACGTGAGCTCCCCTTAGCGGTTGTATTGATTTCTATGATGGCGGCCGGCCGGCGCCTGCACCGTCCATGCTCGAGGAACTTGAAATAGCTATGATCGTGTTTTCCTCGATATGTATTAATGAATCGTGCACAGTGTTTTCTGTTGAGATTATATAAATAAAAATTAATTAGATGCGCACGGTATATATATTGCGTGAGTTTGTTAAATTTGGGACTTATTTATGAAGAAAGAAACGACGAGACGGTGAAGATTTGACAACAACGATGTTCGTGCGTCTGCGAGGTCCTTAACACGAAACCATCACCGATGTCCCAGTTCCTGGCATGAGTCCTATAGTGATTTAAAGAAAGGACGGTGAGTAATTTTCTCTGATGATTAAATAGAAAGGAGAATGTTCTGAAGGATGATGTACATGACGTACTGAAAAGTTCGTTAGTGCAAGATCGAAATGATTGTAAGTTAGGTATGTACAGTGATCGAAATGATTGTAAGTTAGGCATGTTTAGTTGTATACAATGAATCGTGTAATTGGTACATGATTACCTTTATCATTAATATAACATATAACCTCTTAGATTGCAACCAGGTCATTCATCGATCAAAAGTATCTATGCTTTTTAAAATTAAAAGTTAATAAGGACAAGTAAATTTCAAATATATTCATTTCGATTTTTTCAAATTTAAAATTTACTTTCAACAAAAGTAAATCAATGTATTAAAATATATGAAATTCAAACAAAGAAATAATTGTGTAAGATGAAGAGAATGGGAATGAACGAGTTAACAAGTTAAAATGCTGTATTGTAAAACTGAATCTAACCTAATTAATTACTTTGTGTAATATATACATATTTGTTAGGCTTTTTTGAAGATAAAGATACCTAAATATAATTATTTATTTCTTAGAGGCAAGTCATGTGCATTTAGCTATGTTTAGTTATTAACAATTTATTTTTGATTTATGGAAAAAATAAAATAATAAAATGTGGATTCAATCATAGTATTAATGAAAGCTGAGTCACTCGAGACCTACTTAAAACGACGCGCAGTTCTGTTTACTTCAGCAATAATATCACGCATATGTTTCATTTCGAACAAACCTTAATATTTAATATATCATGACGTTACAAGAAAAAATAACATTTAATTGACGGAAAAAATTATTTTGATAAAATAAATTTGCGAAAAAGGATCCATCCTCGATTTCGATGATTTAATTCTTATTATATTGGTCATCCAAGTAAGTGTGAAGCATTTAGAGTTGTGTTCGATCGTCGTGATGTTTGATATTTATATTTTCTTATAAATTTTTTTTATCATTGTTTTATGAAAAAGTATTAACAATTTCTCTCTTATTTAAACATAAATAATTTCATTCAACAAATATTTCAATTGTTTTCAAGACTTAGTAATTGAAAGATTAGTTGGAGGTTAATAAAAATTAAATTTTGATTTAAATTAAAAAGTTTTGATTAATGTCTTATCAGAAGCTATCAATTGGCATAAAATTCAGATTCAAAATCGCGGGATCCAAAATAGACCGTTTTTTGACTAATTCTTTTAAATTTATAGACTGAATATATTTTTTTTTTTTTAATAATGAAGTCTATATAATATAATATAACATATGATATTGTACATGGTAGCATAAAATACGCAATTCATGCGATAAGCACTAAATATATATTGCTGAATTTTGAACGTATGGATTCAAATTCTACATTTGAAATATGGAACAAGAATTAAACATTTATATAACTACAATTTGTTCCTTTTCATTTTTCTGGTAACCTTGGAAAAAAAATTTTACCATGTAGTGACGTAATTGTCTGATCAAAGTTTACTGAATAAATATTATTTTCTGTTCTAGTAAAACTTAACGTAAGATTGAAAGGATTATACAAATATATTATATTAATATATATGACATTGTTTGATTTCATACTATTTTTAATTACTACCGCTTATAATATTTTATAATTTTAATTTCCTAACCTCAAAATCACCTTTTTCCTTGAATCGAAAGACAGTAGTATATAACATAAATTAGTTGATTGTAAACACTCGCATCAAACAACTGTTTTTTTTTTTCCTAAGTAGCTTTCGTTGTCGAGTCGCTTGGTTGGAAACATAATCTGCAAGTTACAGAAATCGCGTTTAGAATTAGATGCGTGAGGTATCTCTCCATACTTGTTGCGTTGGGGAGATTTCACTTTCGCTGCTTCTTCAATCTTAATAGGTAAATTTGCAGCTAGAAATGCAAATCAGCTCACGGTGAAATCGACAGCTAGAAAAAGAAGCTTCGATCGAAAAGAAAAGCGTAAAGCATAATAACTGACTGATTACATGTTCACTCGTAAGTAAGCGGTAATAATCCATTGTTTTTGTTACTTTCTATCGATAATCTTAATTGAGGAAATGTGGGAAATTGAGGAAATTTTATTTTGAAGGTATCTATTCAAAAATAAAGAATTTTTAAAAAAATATAAAATTAAAAATTTAAGATTAGAAAAATGAAAGTAAGTTAGGTGATAATAATAATTAAAAATACCGAAATAAAAATAATACATCGTTTTACATACTATACTTTAATATATTGTCAATTAGTTTTAAATTTTACTGCAATATACATTTTTTTATCCTGCAAAAGAAAGAAAAGCTTTAATCTTGAATTTAAGAATGATAATTTCGAATGTTCAAATGTTATAGCTTTTCCGCTGATTAGGGATTAACTTTCACTGAAAGATTTCCAAAATAATATAGAAAGATATAGCGAGATATAAAGTGATATATGATTAATTTGTATGATTAGAACATAAGAGAAAATCAAGATAATAACAAAGGAGAAAACCGGTTGTCTATTATCAGATATTTTTTTCCCTTTTTAATCAATTCGATTGAAAGTGCATACATAACAGTTAATTCCTATCGCTTTCCTATCAAAAATATTTGATAAATATTTGATAAATTCAAAATTAATGACAATTTTTACTTAAATCCGTTAGATCTGAGAAAATAAAATTTGCTTCTCTGTATAACATAAATTTCCATTGTATTATGAAATCAAAATTTGAATTCGAAATAAAGAACAATGTTATGTTTAAATTATTATATTATAATTATTATAATAAAATTTATTATTATAATTAAATTATTAAGTTGAAAATTATAATTATGTTATTATAATTAATTTAAATTAATTACAGTAAAATTATTGTTGCTTCTCCGCAGTTGTTGATGAATATAAAAATAAATATATAGTATGAAAGTCTTTGTTATTATTAATTGTCGTATATTTTCTCTATTCTCTTAAGTCTAGACATTGACCTCGAAAGTGAGGTGATCGCAAGTTCAAGCAACCGGTACAGAAGAAAGTGTAAATTAACTTCCCCGATCAAGTTATGCGCGAGGAACATGTTGAGCAAATTATCCATATCAACATGTACATTGACATTTGGTTGCAATAAAAATGCGACTCGTTACCAACTTCCTGTTTAGATTAGTTTATAACCTAACTTCAGTTATAAATTTGAATTTCCCGCGCAATGTGTGTTTTTCTTTTGTTACTTTCAGGAATGAGATAAAAACGCTAAAGTTTTCCATATTTTCCTAAAGATTCTCACTCAAACTTGAATCGTCTCAAAAAAATAGATCAATTAATTTGATAAAAATAATTTTCACAATCTTAAGATACATTAATTCACAAGGAAACTTCCAAGCTATATAAATTTAAAATACTTAGGAAATAAAGAAAAAACACTTAGGAAATAAAGGAATAGTGCGTCGTAACAATTATAAATGAAAGTTAGACCACAAGGTAAATAACAAGATATTGAGAAGCAAGAATTACTTTCAAAGTGAGACTTGTTAAATCTACGTAGTACAATCACCTTTCACCTTTTAATGTATATACAAGTTAAGAATATCACAGGAGATTGTTTTCCAATCTGATTTGTCCACTTGTAGATCATGAATATGGTATCATTTTAAAATAGAAAATGCATTTCACATTATAGAGTGTCTATGTGAAGGAACTATGTTAGTAGAGAAATCCATATCAAGTCAGACAATGTTTTCATTGGATAAACCTTTTTGTATGATTGTGACAAAATGGCAAAAAGATTTTCTCATTCCTTAACATTATATTTAAAAGAAATAACAAATCAGTCGCGACATTAACACATCATTAATTGGTTATAATGAACAAAAAATTAGTGTTCCAACAACCCATGATTTAGAAGTATTATGATTTCCACGTGTACCATCTTATTATTTCTTTTGCTATTTTTGTTTTGGTTTCCCTCTTTTAATTGTTATTAATTTCTCGCATTTGTTGATCAAGTCTCAATCGAAACATAGATTCTTTCTCTATCAATATCAATTATCTGATGATGATGAACGATAACGAAAATGGTTTCACAGCTGTAACGATTCAGGGAATGGCGATGATTTCGACTGATATATAAGTAGCCATCTAGTCTCGAGAGAAAGGAAATGGTACCCACTCTCTATCTGACAACTTTTCCCTTCGTTTTGACCAACCGTTTGCCAGCAATCGGCTACAGCAACAGTCTGGAAAGCAATTTCACTGATTCCACTATTTAGATCAAATGCCAGATACAAGAATTTCAAATTATCCTTCAAATTAATAACGATTTATTTAAAAAAATTTTATTTTTCCATTTTGCAGACAAATTGTAACAGAATTGCTACAATTGGAATGAATTTATGGACAATATAACGGAATTTAATCATTTATATCTCTAGTTTTAAGAGAAATAAGAAATAAATTTTCTTCTTGCACTTGAAAAAAAAAAGGAGTTTTGTTATATAATATCTTTGTTTACATTTAGATTACACATGTGTATTCTTATTTTGCGTTAGGAAAGTAGCTGTACGTGCGTATGCTTGCAAAGAATGCATGAGAAAGTGTGTATTTAAGAAAAGTGTGCACTTTTTAGCCAGTCATAAATGAGTTGTGAAAGGGAATATTTAAAAAAAAAATCAATAAATATATAATCTCTCTTTCTCTTTTGTACG